GAAATGATCAGCGTAAAAAGTTCTATCAAATGATGCTATTTGAAGACCAAGCGGAGATCAAACATGTAATGTCAGGAGGAACTCCATAGAATTACTCAAATACCTTATAGAATGTGAATCAATGAAAAGTTTAGTTGGCAATATAGATCTCACTTGATTCGGCTGTTATTGTCAAGTTATGAGGAGTATCAAGTTAAGAATAATTCACATCAAGACCAATTCATTTTTGACATGGTTTATCCAATATTTGAGCTGAAAAATGTGACGAACTATATATAGCAGTTCTCTTTTACTTCCAACCGTTTTTAATCATACATTTTTAAGGGAAGCCAAAAACGTATCGCTGAAGTATAACATAAATATGAGAGTAAGAAAGTTTCTTATCAATCACGTTAGCTGTTTTGCCCATATGAATAATTAGTGACTGTCAATACTCTGTTAATGCTAGTTGCAAATAGCTCACCGATCGATGCGTGGAAATTTTCTTTATGACTGGTCTACACTTCTTTGGTCTTTTTAGAAAATTTATCATATTCATATATATCCATTGACTGTTCCTTTAATTTTTGTTCCTTTAACTATATGTGAGAGTAGTAGGTCTATAGCAGAAATCGGTGAGGCAGCCAAAACCGCGACTCGCCACCGCCTTGCCATATTGACAAGTTATCCATTGCTGCTTCGCCTCGCCTTGCCCACGTTCTATTATAAAAGCGGTTTTTCTTAAGGAAATTCTTCGACCAACCACAATCATCACTATCTAGTTTATTTCTTTTGATCAAGTTAAGTACATTTCATACATATGGAAAAGTGCAAAAAACAAAAATGCAAAATGAGATACAAATAAATAATGCTGTGATAATGGTTGAATGAGTTTTTGCCGAAATTCAGATCTATATTGATTAGCTAATATTTTGGCATGAGACGAAATAGTGTTAGCACCAAAAAATATGTTATCTATATGAATTTTCCATACTTTGCCCTTATAGAGCAAAATAAGAGAATGAAAAAAAAATATTTAAAGATAAGTTATGCAATACCCAAAGAAATACATTCTTGAATAAAAGGTCGGAGTCCTTGATCAATGATGGTCGAGTATGGTCTGATACCCATACAAAACCGTTCTATACAAACGTTTTCTATTTTTTTACTTTTTTCTTCGCTTATTTTAATCGATTCTGAGTAGTTACAAGTGAAAGAAAGCATTTTTTGTGTTAAAGGTGATGAGGACGTTGTATCAGAGTGTTTTGAATATCTTATTGGTGAACATCCACAAGTGTACTTGTTCATTTGGGAGGTTCTATTATTATTATTATAAGAACATGTCTTCTCATTTGCGAACATAAAATCGAAGCTTAAAAAACTTTTAAATTGAAAATTAAACTTTTTTTCAATTGAAACGATTCAAATCGAAAAAAATTCATGTTTTAAATTTTCGTTTTCTAAATTTTTAAACCGCTTACTTTTTAACAAAAAGTTTCTTGAGAAATAAATCAAAAATTTTAAATTTTCGTTGTTAAATTACTAGATATTTACTGACAGCAATTTTAATAAAGCTGATATCTTCAGTATTACTAATAACTCTCTGTAATTCATAGAGTTCGCTAAATATTGAGTTTCACTATTTCAATAAAATAAGCTGTAATTTGTAGAGTGCGCTAAACTATAGTAGTAGCGATTGCTTTTTTCTTTTATTTAATTAACTGGGATTTATAGAGTTCGCCAGACATAATTGTTACTATGAATGTCATGAATTGTTTTTGAATTTGAACGCATCATCTAATTATCATTATAAAATTGAATCAAATATCGAATGGAGGCAACTAATTGATGTGCAAAAACATTTATATACAAAACTCAAAAATACAAAAGATGATATTCTAAAAAACGACGGTTTTGAAACATGGATGTTGATGAAAGTCTTCACTTGACGAATACAGCCTGGTTCGCCCACACTCAATTTGGAGTAAATATCCAATGGCCATAATAAATTATGATATAACCTCTGTAAAAACTCGCATTATCTTTAATTAAAATCGTTCTTAGCCGAGTCCAAACCGATGTTCCTTGCTCGTGCATTATGAGTATTAGCTTATCAATAACAAAAGAAAAAGAAATCAGCTAGTCAATTTCAATTTTGCCTTTCATTAAAATTCTTCTTAGTTAAGTCCAAAACGAAAATCTCTATCCAATAAATACCTAACGTCCTTCACAAATTGCACTAGATATATATCTAGAGCTCAAAACTCTCTGTTATCCAAAATTTGCGTTCTCTACAAATTGCAGTAACTGCCCACAGTTCGAAAAATTTTCATTGTCAAAAGCTAACGTCCTCTACAAATTGCCATAATTGTCTAGAGTTGAAAAGCTTTGTATTGTTAAAATCTAACGTCCTCTACAAATTGCACTAAATATCTAAAATAAAAAATCTTTTTGCTATCAAAAACTTGCGTCCTCTACAAATTGCAGTAACTGTCTAAAGTTTGAAAATTTTCTATCGTCAAAAGCTAACGTCCTCTACAAATTGCAACAAACCTAATTAATACAAAATATAACTTTACTTTAAGATCTTTTAAAAAAATTTACTTTCTATGTGCGTTTTCAATAATCAAATTTTTAAAAGTAAACTTTAAATTTTAATCGTTTTACAAAAAATTAATAAAGTATCAACTTTAAATCAAATGAAATTTTAAAAATTTTAATTTACTTAACTTTATGTTTTTATGTTCGCAAATGAGAAGTAGCCTATAAGAATATGTTACATTGCGATGTTTACATGAGACAAGGTTATTTAATTTTGTTACTACAACATCTTAATTATCAGAAACAGCTGGGAAACAAAACCGAGACTAGCAGCTTGTCGTATGTTTCTCCCTATTTTCGACTATTGTTAGATTTCCATCTTTACGCATGAATCAATTATAAATCCTTCTAAATGACATTCGAGATATATCCGATAATGTATGATCGGCATTGCGAGAATCTGAACAAGTTTCTTCTGTTAAATCGATAATATCATTATAAGAAGAGTAATAGTTTGCCGAGCAACAATACGTATCTAGATTAAAATTTTTATCGTAAAAATTTGTATTAGCTAACAAAACAAAGGTCGCATTAGTTAAATTTACAATGGTAATTGTGTAAGGCTCCAAACAGACTGACTTAGTTTAAAGTCAATTAACCAATGTTATTGACGTTGTTACATGGTAACACCCATCATGTTTCTTAATTCACTTTTAATTGAGTCAGGCTGTTTGGGACCTAAATCAAATTGTTCAACAGACCAAATAGATAACTATGTTTACCTAAATATTCATATTCATTTATTGTTGTGAGTAGTTTAATTTAATCACCAATAGAAATTCTTTAAGAAGTGAACAATAAAATCGGAAGATAACATTAATGATCTACCATTTACTCACTAACAATTATATTTTAAGTAGGCAAGTTGACTCGGCGAGTCTCGAAATCAACTCGCACTCGTCGTGG